CAAAAGATCGAATAACATCCTCCATTTATCAAGACCAGGTTGCAGTGGTATCAGTCTCAGCAGAGACACAGACGTCTCCCTCCCCAGACACATCCTTCAGCTCCAATGAGGAAAGCCCCAGAGCCAGCGAAGAGACAGTTCCTTTCCTGGGATATTTCCTAAGCCTCATCCCAGTGGATTACCTTTGAGAGACATGTAAGAGGAATCTGAAACAAGTGTCAAAGCCACTGCAGCTGACTCCTCTGGGTGCGGGAGGAGAACCCTGAGCCTCTCCTGAATGACCAAGCTCCTCACCTTATTTCTAAGATAATAACCAGCCACGTTGCAGAGAAAGGTCATTTCATTCCCCTTTATCCAGGATCTGGTTCCTTCATTAAAGTCTAAGCAAGATAGCTGAAACCTAATACAGGTGTTCATCTTACATAAGAATGATTACTGCATCCATTTCTTTACAGGTCTGCCAAAAATTAACAACATTTAAAACATTTAAACAGCTGAAGGTAAAACAGAATGCTGCTGCTCTCATTCTCACTAAACTTAAGGAGGTACAACATTATTTCTAAAACATTATGTTGGCTCAGAGAATGGATTTTAAAATCCTTAATTTAACCTATAAACTACTGAAAGGCTTAGCACCAAAATACATTACAGGCCTGCTGTCAGGCTGTCAACTGGCTCAAATCTTCTCTTTATACCCAGAGCAACACACAAACGTGAAGAAGCAGCTCTTCATTCTTATGCTGTAATAATCTGAAAATAAAATAAACTCGGGGAAGACTGTAAAAGTGCTTCAACACTATCCTTATTTACATCAAGGTTAAAAATCCATTTGTTTAGAGTCTCCATTGGCTGTCTAGTTTAAAGTATTAACTAAAACATCAAGAGTTTGTATTCAACCTTTCTTTACCTGTCTTTATGCCACTGCAATTTGTTTTTCCACATTTTTTTTTCTCGCTATGTTCTGTTCTTGTAAAACACTGAATTACTGCTGGAATGTACTACACAAAACGTACCTTGGCCTTACACTTATTAACTTATATTAAATTAAAGTTAATCAAAACAAAAAGTTGTAAATGTAGCAAATTTTACAGCCATTCACAGGTGCAGTGTTCCTGTTTTCACATATTGATGCAAGGAGACATTAAAGTGGAGATCTCATTAACATATCAACCCAGAGTTAACAGTTATAAAGAGAATAAAAATCCCTTAAAGGTCAAATGCCTAAATAGTTTAAAAATACTACTATGACCACAGGATGATTTCCCCTTTTCTTCTACTGGTAGCTTTAAGCAGACAGCAATATTTTAAATCAATAAAAGGTAGCATTAGTATTTTGTGGAAAATTGCTGACTTCTACTTGCAGCAAATCCACTTTAAGCATATTACCACCACCTAAATGGCTGCAGAGAGAAAGTCAGTATCAGGCTCTGGTTTTTCAATGTGATTAAAATTGAGTGCCACTGCAATTTGTTTTTGGTTAAATTGCTATTACATTGAAAATGCAATTAATCCTAGACAGAAAATTTGACCTTTAGATTAGATTTTAACTACAATAAAGAATTATTATTTTTGGAAAAATAACATTTCCAAACTATTTGCCAATGCCGTCACAAAGTTATCTGTAAGTTCCTAGGACAAGAAAAACTGCCTATTCCCGATTATGGTCTTAGGGTTTTTTTCTCAAGTAAATTGAATAAAGCGGAGTAGAATAATTGATTATCTAAGAAAATTACAGAGGTTCGTGGAAAAGACTGTAGTGGATTTGCACCTCAAGAAAATAAGCAGCTATTTTTTTACTCAGAGATCATTCTACTGGCAACAAATATTTTTTACTCGTTTTTTTTTTTTTTACCCATATTAAATGCATAGCAAATACATATACATGGTTGTATATCGGTGGTTTTCAGCATGGTGCATCGGGGGAAAACCTGGTGGAGCAGATTTAAGTGGTCCTTTAAGAAAAAATATATATTCCTTAGCACAGAAGGAATGAGTTAGTAATTTAATGGACAGTTTGCATTGGACTTTGGGTGGAGTTGGTGTGATGTGTGTCAATGTTATAAAGATGTTGTGTTCATAAAAAGCTCATAAGCATTATAGATAAAACTAAGCTCAGATTTGTAGGACAAACATCAAGACTGGTTTGGATCATTATCAATATCAGCAACAAAGGATTCCAAAGTGGTTACGGTTATTTTTCTTAATAAATAAAACAATGCTGGTGTTGCTGTTTACAAATTACAAAGAAAATATTTTATCAGTGAGTCACGTCCACATAAGTGTATGATCAGAATATTGGTGGGCTGGTCAAAAGTTTCAATTACATATTTAACCAATAAAGTTGTCTTTAGGCATGCAACTTTGATTTTAATTCTCTTGTATGAAAATCCGGTGAATTAATATTTTCCTATAAAGTAATCTAAATGTTAAACAAAGTCAGTGAATCTATGCAAAAAAAAAATAAAAATAAAAATAAATAAATAATAACACAGATAACAGCTTTCAAGGGCATGACTCTATTCAGTGTAGTCTAATTTTCTTGATGTGCCAAGGGCTTGGACCTGTCCCAAGACACCCATTCTCAGCTGAAAGCCCCTTTCCATATAAAAACTTCATTGTCTACAATGTCATACAATAATAGTCATGTAAAGGAAAAAACCTGTGTATCGTAGTTCGCTTAACTTCATTGAAATCACCTTTACTTTTTCATAAGCCATTTCTCTAATCCTATCAGCACATTCATTATCCTGGTAAATGCCATTCTGTCAGGCTTATAACAACTGCAGCCTTCAAAAACTAAAACTGAACAATAACAATAATGATAATTATGTGATCTATAAAGTTGATAATGGTATAGACTCCCATGAAATCATTTAATTGCAGTTCTTGGGTGATTGCTGATTCATATCAGAGGTAATAACATACAATGGGCTGATGAAAAGTAAAACACAGATAAGAAACAGAATTACTGTTGAATCTCATTGGCTTCTGATCGGTGTGATGCTGACTGAACAGATACGGCACTGAGATGAATTAATTCTGGCTGTTAGCCTGGTCTGGAGCAGGCTAGCTGTACAGAATAAAACTCTATGGGAACTTATGTGCTCCTGCTTTTGTGAAACCAAGTCAATGCCCAATTAGGGAAGGACTTCTGGAAAACCCTGGCTTAATCCACTATTTTGGTTTTATGAAACAGGAATCCAATGAACAGATTTTTTTTTTTTTTTTTGTGTTCTTGTTGTTGACTGTTTGTACCCGTTTAATGTTGGTGTATAAAAGCAACATAAAATATTTGGAAGCAGCCTCAGTGATAAAAAAACAAACATTTTTTTCTGGTGATGTTTTGTATTTGGAGGGACTGGCGCACCTAATAGAATATATGGCATCACAAGGAAAGAACTAATAATGGATATGTTGATTTGAAACATGAACTAGTAAACTAAAGTTTGAGCATAAATGAGATTACAAGTTAAACAACTTAAGTAAGCAAAGTTCAAAATTAACTATACAGGCATAAAGTTTAATGTTGTCTACAAGCAAGGTGACTTATAATAGCTACAATGGGCAAGATTACGAGTTATAAATAAAAAAGAATTTTTTGAAGGATTTAACCCCACTCATAGTCCAACCACATCAACGGAAGTTAAAGAAAAGTTTTATTTTAGATATTTTGGGGGATTTTGGGGGATTTTAACAAACATAAATATTTTTGTCTTCCTTACTGACTTTAAACATACAGTAGGAAATCTAGTCTGATTAAATGCAGGCAGGAAATGACGCTTATCAGTCTTTATAAATATTGTATGTAACTATCTGATTTCAAATGTTATCAGTCAGCACTTAATCGGGAGACAACTGCAACAACAAAGGGTAAAATAAAAAACAAACTGTCTCCACAATTCATTTTATGGTATTCAGTATGAATTTGGGGCCCCATTCAAACTGCGAACACCGCTGATCTGATCCTGTAAAAACACTGCAACTCACACAATTTCGATTTCAGGGTCAGAGCATAAACTTCAACTGTATAGCAGTTTAAGTGGGGGAGTTTCCATATGATCTAGACATCAGTTTGTTTAAAATGGCAAAAATACCAGGTTCTCACTCAAGCATGTTCTATACATCTCTTGTTTGTTTTGTCAAGCCTCATTAACTTCCTTCTCTTCTTCTGGGTTTCTAACTACAAAGTGTAAGTAATGCTAAGGCAATTTACAGTAATTAAGTTCTCTTTGGTAATACTACATATGACCTAGACACTTCCCCCATGAGACCACATTAGCTTATGGGTGGGGGCTGTTTCTCTCTTATTTACAACTGTCGAAGAAAAGGAGGAAATTGAGGTTCCTTCTTAAGCGGACAATGGACTCTGAAGTTGCAGATAGGTATGATTTTATTTTTATTATTATAAAAGAAAGAAAGACAGAGCAAAGTTAAAATACTTAAGCCTATTTAGATTTGTAAATTTTACTTTGTTTTTGCAGCTTTTACATAAAAAAGCCTAATTCTCTCAACTTCTAGGATATTATATATCCTAAAAATAAAAATTTTAGACTTAATGAAAGCACAAAGCATAATACTAATAAATACTGCAAACAGTTCATTTAAAATAATTGGCAAATAAATAAGTGGGTTAAGAAAAGTTCCTTGTGTCTTTATCCATTCATTTGTGAGAATTAATGTCTGCTTTTTTTTTCAAAATGCCATTCTATTGAGTCTAAAACTTAGTTCATAAATCAATTATTGAAAACAAATAGAGTAAAAATAAAGACAAGAATAGATTCAAAAAACCATCTAAAAGTAATAAATTGGTTATTATGACTTTACTTTTCATTAAAAATTCACATAATGATATTTGAATTGAGATAAACCAAAAAAATAAAAACTCATATTTTAGTACTTCAAACACTGGGCAGAGCTATGCATCTTATCCAACTTGAGAAGAGGTGGGAGGTCTTTAAGAAGGCTGCCTGTCAGCTGAAACACTCACTCTCAGTTGAACTCCCTCAAAGGAGGAGGAGCACATCAGGCAATGCTTTGAAGACCAGCGCCACATGAAGAAGTGCCAGATTGAGTTAAGAAGTTCCTTTCTGTGGAGTGGAAGTGGGTAAATGACAAAGATCTGTTTGCTTCAATGTGTGTGACAGAGGAGTTTGGTGTTTTCCATTGCCAAACACGTACCAGATGACCATCCCTGTGTCCACAGTGAGTCAGAGCAAAGCTAAGGTAGGTGAAAGCTTTTTACTAGTAAGCTGAATAGTAAAAACAAAATCAATCGGTTGCTGAGCTTGCATTGGGTCTTTATTGGACCTTCGGTCCTCAATGTGCAGTTTAATGACGTCAATATATTTTATTATAGAACGCATGAAAAAGACAAATCATGTGATAAGTTATATTTGCATCATGTGCCCTTGCATTTGCCTCATACCAGTCACATTTGAAGTTGTATTAGATTACATTAATCAGATTATGTATCATCATCAGTCATTAACTGGGCTCTAAATAATAGTGGAGCTGAGATGTATCCTCACATTCCCAGTCATGTTCTGTGGGAAATACTCTAATGACTTTACTGTTTCATAGAACACTGCATTGTTTTACCATTGATTAAGAGTTAAAACTTTATCAGCGTGAGATGCACCCTATTCTCTCTGCTCTTCTGCATTAAAGCATAAAATCCATCAAGCATGCAGTTCTGTGTTACATCAAGAGGAGAGAAAAAAAAAAGAGAGCAATCCATTTTATTTCTCCATCTTTTGTTTTTTTTACTTCATGTCACATGTCAGTTTGATGCTTTCTTCACATCTGAATTGAATAGTTATCAGATAAAAAAAATCTACATCTCAAATAAATCACCTCAATGAGCACTTAGAAAGAAAGGGAAACTCTTAAGTATGGAGATTTTCTGCCGTGTGAAGAGCATATGCTTGCCATCATGCTTTAATTCAGAGTATAAGTCCAGGTGGAGCCTATTTTAATGTTACAGGTTCCAAAAGGTGCTTGGTAGCAGTAGATTGACTGGCCAAGTGTCTTTGCAGGGAGAAAAAATATGACTATAATTTAGATTTATCTAAAAGTTCTCTCAAGGTCAGACTCAGACATTAGCTACCTCTGTCCAGAATCCAGATGTGACCCAAATGCTTACCCCAGTTAAACAGGCTCAGTGGTGAAAATGTTTTTTATTTGTTACTCTCTGTGCTGTTCTCTTCTCTTTGCTGTTGTTTGGGTGGAAATGGGAGAATTGGTCCCACTCCAGTTGTGAAAGTGTTGTGGTGTGATTAAGAGGAAATTTCACTAAAGTTTGCTTTAAATGTTTTTCTTCTTGTAAAATAATTACGAGAATTTTACGTTGTTAGTTTCGAGATTAAAGTTATAGTGGGTATGTGGGAATGATGCTAATAAGCAGAAGAAGAAACCACACTGCATTAGGTTTAACTCAACAAGTTCTTGTCAAAACTTTTACTATTTAGGAACAAGCTGTCTAGATCAAGATAAATAGAGCCAAACAACTAACAGTTTTGCTAGCTTTTGAGTTGAGTTGGCTTTAGAGTAACATTTAGTTTTTTCAGTTGCAGGTAAAGTGTCTGTGTGTGCTTATGTTCCTGAGCTTCCCTCTGTCAATGGCCGAGATTCCTGGTCCATGCAGACACTCAATCACTAGGGAACACCTGCTGATAGTCAGGCAACTGGTAGGTGTTAAAACAACATTAAACAGATCAGATCAAATATCCTCAGCTGAAATCCTCCCATTGTTATTTCTGCAGATGGACAACCAGTTGAGAAGTGGGTGTTCAATAACCTACACATTCATAGAGCGGAGAACTTTGGTAAGGCAACATTGGTCCAAATGGAGCTGTGTTGGTTTTATTTTTTTAAAGAAAAACTAAAACTTTAACAAACTCTTCTGTTCCTGCTCATTTTCATTTCCTTCCTTGCAGAGCAAATGTTGCTTTGTGAAAGCTGCTTTACCCTGGATACTGGAGCTGCTCACCACGCACTTCAAGTACAGTCGGGGCTCAGTCAACGATGGCTATGTTCAGTCCCTGAGAGCGCTTATCCTTAACATGTATTCACAGAGATGCGTCCCTCAGATTAATGAAGAAGTGGAGGTGAATGTTTTTTTCCAAATTAACATTCTATTGCGTACCTGTTGTAATAGCTGTAAAAGCTTTAAGAGACCTGCTGTTTGAGAAAAAAAAAGTCAAGATCTGTTTCTCATTATGTGTCGTAGGATAAGCCAGAGAGCTTTGAGATGGTTTACAGTGGGTCTCCGACAGAAGCGTTGCAGAGAGTCTCAGAGGTATTGTCTGTTTACTGGGAACTGGTGACAACGAGTGAATCACCGATTGACTGGATATGCCAGCAGGAGTATTCAGAAAACTTCAGCTCCTCGACTGAGCTACCCGCAGGGTCGACTGTTCAATATTTTACAGGTGTGAAACTCAAACTTCTGGAATGTTGTGTGATGAATAATGCAGATGTCTGGGAAGTCTGTGATCACAGATCGTGTGAACATTTCCACAGACAGCTATGATTGGAACTCAGCAAAGGCTTCGCAGAGAAGACCAGTCAGAGATGTGTACAAGCTTGGCTTCATCATTGCATCCATCTGTGGAGGACTGCTGCTCATACTTAGTCTCTACTGCCTCATTGTTCACAAGGTACCAGCATTTATTTCTTGCAACCTTCAAATATCACATGTGAACTAATAAAGTTTCCTAATGAGCTCCATTAGTATTCTACTAAAGCAGGGCTGTCAAACTGGTTCCAGAAAGGGCCATGTGGCTGCAGGTTTTCTTTCCAACCAAGCAATAGCACACCAGGCTTGAGTCATCTCATCAAAGGAGTCCAATCTGAACATGATGACTTGATGAGATGAATGGAGTCTGGTGCTATTGTTTGGTTGGAAAGAAAACCTGCAGCCACACGGCCCTTTCTGGAACCAGTTTGACACCAGTGTACTAAAGCATCCATTGGCAGTTTGGTAAAGCTTCCTTTGGCCCTCCTTGTACTAGAACCGTATGTACTTTAGGGGTCATAAGGCAACAAGTTGGAGGCTAAACAACAAGTTGACTAGCTAAACATCAACAGAGACAAAAGTGTGCAATTATATTCATTTTCCTTAATACTTTGGAAGAACAATTCTAGTTTATGTCCCAATTAGCTGCTCTTTCTAAAGCTCTTTATACCCTTTCAAAAACATAAAACCATTGCAGGGATATTATTGGGGTTTCAGGACTAATAAAGTACAGGCCTCTAAAAAGAACAAGTCTTAAATAACCCATTAAAATCTCAACATAAACAAAATTATCATCAAGACCTAGAGGAAATTTTCACTGCTCAAGCATGGTCCATAGCTAATGATACATATATGAGTTTCTCATCTCAGCCTTATTTTAGTTTATTTGTTTCAAATGTTTCTCCTAAAATTTATTAGGAGAAATAAAGGGATATGTTAACATTACAAAACATAAGTCATAGTTGAGTTTTATAGGATATGCATTGCAAAACTTGAATTACTCCTTCTCATATCCCCTATAATGGTAAATTGTCTGTACTTATATAGCACTTTCTCAACTCAGGAGAGTTGACAAGCACTTTACCCTACATTAAGGCATTCAGCCATTCACAAGCACACGGTTTTCTGCACTGTCTGTCCAAAATCAGATTTTGGGGAAGATAAAGGTAAATCATTTGTAATCTACATTCAATAAAGTTATTAGCCTCAGATTATTCGATATATATTTTGTCTAATTCTGGTTTGGGTAATAATGTAATAACTCCTTGTGTCATAGATGGCATTAAATTATAATTTTTAATACACTATTTTAAGGCTTTGAATAATAATAAAATTTTTTTTTTTTTTTAAAGTCCTCCAAGAAAAACTGAAGAAAATTGGAAGTCGAACCATCTTGACCATGTGTTTTGCCTACTGACATTTATTTTAAAGCAATTCATCTAATTATAATCTAATCTTCGTCGCATAACGTCTTGAATGTGGAGTCAATTCTAGGAATGTTGTGTTAAATACTTTCCAAAAAGGATATTAGAGTGGTGATGAAAGTACACTGAGTTCATAGAGAGAGCTATCTGATTTATCTGCTTAGAATCACAAGGTGACACAAAAGTTGAATAACTCTGAAAATTATATTTGAGCTTTTTGAGATATTTTCTGAAAATTGAAAGGAGACTAAATCAAATTTTAGTACATCTTATTGTCCAAGAGAAAAGGCCGAGACAGAGGAGAAAGAAACCCTTCATATTCACATGGTTGTCTAAGAGAAGTACATGAAACATTTTGGCAATCTCAATTCAGATTTTTCCTTTCCTCAAGGGTATTCTAAGTTTTAAAGATTCAGTTTTCAGGTTTGACAAAATAAATGAATGTAAATGTATAAATATACATACTTTATGAAAGTGAAAAATAATATTTTTTGGACTTAAAATTAGCACAAATGTAAAATCAAGATTACCATGCTTTTATTGTTTGGTAGATGAGTGTGAATTGCAACTAATACAAAAACTTAGTACAGAACTTTTGTATTTTTTTAAAAGGTAAACATTTCTATAAGATATCTGTTTGTGTCTGCATCTTTAACCAAAATCCAGACAAGAGGAAGGTTTTTATGGGAGATAACAAATCATTAGAGGTACAGTAGAGATGTCAAGAGAATGTGGCATGTATACTCTCATATTTAGATCTGCTAAATCAAAAAACTTAAGCAGAACCTATCTGACAATACAAAGTAGGATAAAAGATTTAAACCTGGAACACATTATACCATCTAAACAACTTCAAGAACAAGTTAATCTGTCAGCTAGCTGCTGACCGACTAAAATTATTCCAAGACTGCGCTGACTACTGACCCAGAGCAACTCATAAATTAACATGTTAACTTAAGATCAGGGCCACACTTTAAAGACACCTTTACTTGATTAGTAATCTATATATACCCAGTTCATCCGTTATTTACTGCGGATTATTATTATTATTTCAACACTATGCTCCTCACAGTGTAGAGGTTTTTATTTTTAGTTAGACTTTGATTCAACAATATATGCAGCACTAAAACTCTTAATCAGAAGAAGAAGCCATCTATGTTCCATTATCTACCAATCTCACTCACAGTAAAGCAAAAATATATTGCCAACTCAGCTTGGCTCCCCTTCTTCATCAAAATGCATGGCCATTACTCTTAGAAATGTAAGCCAATTCCTCTGTTCCCAAGGGATGAATCAGGCCTCCAGGCGTTCATTATCATGCACTGGTAACACACTAATCCCACATTGCCTTACTGTATGTATTCCCTTGCCACCACAACATCAAAGCCAGGATGATATCACATCTTAAACATAATTCCTGCATTCTTCTTAGAGTCTTCTTCATCCAAGGTCACCTACAGTCCTGGCCTAAGCATATGCAAACAGTTTCTTGTAGATTAAGTTAGTGTCAAAGCTCAGAACAGAGGGCCCAGTATTCAAGGCAGAAAGAGAGATTTCTCAAAAGCATGTATTTAAAAACGGCAGATCTGCAGTAACAGCAGGGATTCCTGTCTTGCTGCAGTAGCAGCAAGACAGGAACCTCTGCAGGAATGAAAACACAGGTTAGTGACCACGTTAATCTGACAGAGGATGATTATGAATGTGTGAGTTACAAATGTAGTTCTATACTTTAGTCCATGCCCAGACAACAAGGTTGAGTCTAGCCGGTTGGCTGTCCACAAGACGTGGCGGACGCCCTTCAGTGTGTTTCAGACGCCGTAGTTCCAAAGGACAAACACGAGCAAACAGGAAATCAGATCCGAGCAGACAAAGGAAGGCAGGAAAATCCAGAAGGCGAAGCCAAAGCTGATGTCGAGGACGTGCTCAGGATTCAGAACCAGGAGATCAGAAGTCAGAAGAGGTTACAAAGAGAAATCAAGGTCGGGGATTGGAAGCAGTTCAAAGTTAAGTTAACAGGCAAAATCCAGCAGGAGCCCCAAGACAGGGCAGGCAAACCGATCATACTGGAATAGGCAGGCTCAGCGGTTGAGAGGGAGAACAGGTCAGGATGAGGTAATTAGAAACACTAAGATAACACTGAAACACTCTCCCTACTGGCTCGAGAATAACCTGGCCCTAATGACTGCTTTAGGGCTGGTTAAACAGAAGCTGGAGCAGGTGGATAAGATCAACGGCAATGAGAAAACATGCTGAGCTAGACGGATAAATGAAATGAGTTATCCAGCCAGTCATCAGTGGCAAGATCATGTCAGTACATATTTACTTACCTGCGTCTTCCCCTTTATCAAAACATCTTCACTATCCCTTCCCTCACTGACTCCAAAAAATCTTTGTGTACATGATCCTTTTATCCCTTCTGCTACACTCTTTTCTGTTTAACATGTTTCATGCATGATCAAGTGAGTGACCATTTCTTGTGGCACCTGTTCATCCAAATTAGCCTACTGTCCAAACCATTTGAGCTCTCTTTCATCCTTTTGATCTGAAAACCACCTCAGGGTCCAGCTGCCTAATTGTGCTCCTTCCCTCGACAAAATCACCCATAGATCTAGTTTACCATTTACTTCCTTAACATTTAAACTATCCTGCCTTTGTAAATTCTTAGTAATCTGGGTAATGGCAAACACAAAATAGGCCTAAATTAAAGGCAACCAAATATTCGCCCAGTTTTTCTAAAGACTTTTCAGCACCTTTACCCAGCACAAGTCTTTGTCAATTCTGTCGGCTTGATGTTGAGCAAACTGTATTTGAAGCACTGATGTTTTTAGGAAGCATGCAGGTCCATCATCCTAAGTAGATTTTAAGTCAGATTCCAATCAAAGACCCATCCATTGTTCTCATGTGTTGTTGAAGTCATTTATTTTGTATGAGCTATGTGTTAGGCCATTTCAATCATGAGGAGTGTATCTTTGTTTCTGATCCTTCTTCTCAAACCTGGACTAGTTGACAGTAAAAGTCATACCACCATGCAGGCCAACACTGAGCTTTCGATGTGAGTTGACTCAGCTTAATGATGTTGAGCTGTCCACAAGTCAAATTTTTGATGAATGCCTAAATCATGGGTCTGCTGGAGGTTTATTCCTGTTAAAGGGAAATGATACTCTCTTTTTTTGCTACATGCAGGACCAGTCTAAGAGATCATTGCAAAGTCCACAACAGAATGCAGGGGCTGTCCATAGCCACTGAATGCACTTCCAGTGGAGTAAAATCTGCAGATCAGGGTCTTTATGCAGTCCACTTAGTTTCTTTAGATAGAAAACCTTTAAACCAATCTGTCTCAAATTTGATTGACTTTACTTTGTTAAGAACTTTAAGATGGCATGTGGTCAACCGGGGCTATGTAAATATATTGAATTGTATCGAATAACATTTTCAATTTAGTGAGTCCAGGAATTACGGGTTTTATAGCAAGGTTACCCGCTGCTATTTTGCTCCAAAGAACTTACTTCTTCAAAGATACCTTGGTATTTTCCCTTTTTAAGGTGCACTATTTTCTCTGTCTGTTCAGATCATAGACCATACCTCCATGTCTATCTTTCCATGATTTTTAACATGGTTTTCAGCTACAGAGGCTCTAGTCTCTGTGAATACCACATCCTCCTTACTACCAATTTCGGATAAATTGCACCAATTTAATCCAGGGGCATTTAGGGATACT